AACATTCACTATTTTTGGATGTGCATGAGAATGTAGGAAAACCTATAGCTGAGAGTCTTCAGCCTTTCATTTTTCTCGTTAAAACAATTTTAAGAAGAATGAAGAACCATCTAGAATCATGAGAATTAACCGTGGGTTGGGCCTGAGCAAGAAGGTACTTTTCAGAACATTAATGAGATGAGGATTAATGTGAGATGTATGTAAACACAACTTAGTGGACTTCTTCCTTTTGCAAGTAATTTTACACAGAGCATGAGTCATCAGAGAAAGAGTGATCTGGCCTGAATATAATAGGGAGAAAAAAGCAATTTAAATCTCTTTTTATCTCCATCTTACCCTGCCTTTCCACCACATTGACATCATTTGTATTTCCAAAGCAGCTTTGTAGCTCTTTTCTGACTCCCTGACTCCCTGCAACAAATCTGGAACAAAAAGGACCAGAATACTTCCGAATACCAGAATACTTAAGGAATGTAAATTGTGTTAGCTCTAGAGTAGAATATCAAGGCTAGAGGTCTGAATCAATCCTTTCACAACATCCATACCTAGATAACATAAAGAAGCAGTTGAGTATGAGAGATAAAGAAGAAACCTGTTTTCCCTTCCTTTACAAAAATTCATTCATTCCTATTTATAGTGTTGTAAGAAATCATGCATTCAGTAATATCACTTTTTGGAGATAGAAACATTTTGAACTCAAATCTCAGAAGGCTGTAGTCAGAAAATAAATAAATAAAATAAATAAATAAATAAATAAATAAATAAAATATTACCTGATTATGAGTATTTTTTTCATTTCCAACTAAATTCTTTCTATCCATCATCACCTCTCCTACTTGGGAACATCTCATTTATATTGGGGAGCTAAGTAGGAGTTCTTATTTTGAATCCATTGTCAAAATGGTATTATAAGAAAAAAATGCAGATCTTTATCTTTCTTTTGCAGTTTCTGAGGATCTTTCATGATTTTTCAGAGTTCGCAGAAGGCAGGAGTTTATACAGAAGAATTGAGTGTATGGTTGATGCACATGTTTAAGAATATACAATTATTTATCCTGACATATTTATTTTAATATGTTCATATATAGTTATATTGCTTTGGAATAGTTTCTCATTTATATGCCTGAAACTATATAACAAAAGATAGCTGAGCAATTAATTTTAGAGTTATGCAATGTTTCCGTCACTGGATTTTCTGAGGATATCATTTGGATTTTATATCTATGTAGAGAAGTAAAATGATCAACCAAAATTTTTAGCCTCTAAGATTGTTGTTTTCATGTTACTTTTCTCCATTGACAGTTCTTTGTAAAGAGCAAGGACAGAACAAATGTCAAAATTATTCTTCACTCAGAGGGCAGTAAGGTACTAGAAAAAGTTGAATCCAGTGAAGCTGTGGATGCCCCATCCCTGGAGGTGTTCAACAGGATGGATGGTGCTTTAGGCAACCTGATCTTGTGTGGGGTATCCCAGCCAATGGTATGGATGGTAGAACTTGAAGATTTTTAAGGTCTCTTCCAACCCAAACTATTCCATGATTCTATGATTTATGGAAATACTCTGCATGTACAGGCCAGTGGTAATATGCTACTTTGCTCCTAAGGCACAGTGGACATTGTATTTAAGGTATAAAGCACTTTGAACACCAGGCTTTTTTCAAAAGTCAGCTCACACTTCAGTTTTTGCCTCTATAAAGTTGGTGATGCAATACAAACTGGATGAACAATATGAACTAATCTATCATGGCTCTGATCTGCAGTAAGGAAAATAAATCTACAGCTTTTGGGAAAAGTATTGTATTAGCTTACAGTATACGTGAAGATATTGAACTGGACAGGACCTCTCAGGTCAGCAAATACTGTTCCCTGTCATGTTGCAAAAGACTGTGCAGAATGTAACAAATTTCTTCTTAAAACCAATGGTTTCTAATCCTTTCTATTTCTTTTCATAGTGCTAATTAAAATATAATTATTCTACCATATGTATGTTCTTGATTCATATGTGCTCAGTATGTGATTGTTTTCATACAAACATGTCTCTTATTTCTCCCTCCTACTCATACCCCAGATATATGGCCCTTATAATTGTTATGGAAAAAAAAGTGATCACATTTTATTTCACCCTTCACTGAATTCCAGCAGACCAAGCCCTTTCAGTGTGTTCTAGCAAGAGAGATGCTTCCCACTGTATCAGCCAAGCCAGATTGATTCTATCTTTAAATTAATCTTTCTTCAACTTTGCTGATCAGATTTGAGCACAATGATTTGGTAAGGTAGATCCTTGCTATTAATTCTTTCCTACGTAGAATAGAAATACTTGGGTATTCCTTGGAATATTTGGAATATCACAAAGATTGGATTTGAACTTTTTTGATAACTGCATCAAATTGCCACACATACTTTCATATTCTGATTGTCTAATACAATACTATATTCAAAACGTGACATACAAAAATAATTATTAGCATAACTGGCATAACATCCTAATCTCGTTTGTAATCATAAACAAGGCAATCCACTATGCCTATGCCAGGTCAGCCAATTTTTCCTGCCTCTCTCTCCTATTTGTCCTCTTCACTGTTGCTAATCATTCCCTCATGAAAAAATTTCTATTTCACTGAATTCCAAATAGATGAAATTTGACATATTATCCTTACCTAATCAGTTATTTTACCCCATAAAGCAATCCAATTAGTTTTTAAAGCTGGCTTACATTTCTCTTTTATGTCTGTGCCACTAACTAGTCATTTTTTCAGAGTATTTGTCGAAGCCTCCATAATAACTTTCATGTGAGGTTTTCTTTACTGTGCAGAAAAGGATATTAATGGTAGCAATATATAAGGTGGGATCCTGACACGTTGGAATATGTGTCAGTACCTCAGTGTTGCTCTTTGTTTTGTTTGTTTGTTTGTTCTACATATATATATATAATTTGGGAACAATTTTGTAGTTTATCTTGCACATAAAGTGATACTAAAGTGAATCTCAGGGTGTGCACGCACACACAAACACACACACACAAAAGCCAGAAAGTAAGTCTGTAGGTTTAAAGTAGTAGAAAGATTAGCTGCATGAAAATGTGACTAGATGATCAAATACAAGACAGCCTATGGAGATGTCAGTAGCAAAAGGATGTGGTAAATATAAAAAGCAAAAGAAAGAATTAAAAAAAAAAAAAAAATGAAGGGAGCAGGAAAAAAGATACCATGGAAATCCATAACTGAGAAACTGGAAAGAATGGAAAAGACAAGAACGCGGACACAAGACTTCCTTTTTTGATGAATAGAGACATGGAAAAAGGAAGAAATTAAAAAAAAAATAGGGATAGGATAGGATAGGATAGGATAGGATAGGATAGGATAGGATAGGATAGGATAGGATAGGATAGGATAGGATAGGATAGGATAGGATAGGATAGTTGTAAGAGACCTACGAAGATCAAGTCTGACTGCCTGACCACCTTGGAGTTAACCAGAAGTTAAAATGCCTCCTGAACACTGACAGGCATGGAACATCAATCACCTCACTAGGAAGTTTGTTCCTGTTTTTGACCACCCTCACATTTTATTTTATTTTTTATTACTACAGAGAAGAGACAGGCACCTTTCCCCCTCAGGAGTTCACCTCTTGACCTCCTTTTCTCCAAACTAGATAAGCCAAGTGTCCTCAGCCTCTCCCCACAGGACATGCCTTCCAGCCCTCTTACCAGCATTATTGACCTCTTCTGGATGCATTCAAGTACCTTAACATCCTTTCTATATTGTGGAGCCTAGAACTGTACGTAATATTCAGGGTAAGGTTGCAACAACTCTGAATATAGTGGGATAATCACAGAATGGTTGGAATTAGAAGGGATGTCTGGAAGTCGTCTGGTCCAAACCCTCTTCTCAAGCAGGGACACCCACAGGTTGCCTGGCACTTGGCACCACTGAAAAGAGTCTATCTCCATTTTCTTTGCACACTCCTGTCAGGTATTTACATACATTGATAAGATTCCGTCTAAGCTTTACCTTTCCCAGGCTGAACAGTCCCAACTCTCTCAGCCTCTCCCCATAGGAGTGGCTTTAATTACCTCTTTTTACCAGCTGCATATGCTGTGTTTAATGCACCCAAAAATGACCTCTTGGCTGCCAGGATGCACTGTGTAAAATGACAAGGAAAGATATCAGGAAAAGAAGAAGGAAATAAAGAGAGAAGTACATAGGAAAGAAAAAGACCTCAGAAGAAGACTTTGCTCATTGAAATGTAGAGCCCAAGCAAGATAAATGAACACAGGTTGGATAACATACAAATGAGAAAATCTGAGAAACCCACAGAATTCAGTCACTCTCCTTGCTCTACAAGTGTGTGTTAAATAAAATTAACAGGGTGTCCAAGTGGTTTTGGTAAATTAAGGAGAGTTGCTGGCTATTCAAAAAGGTATTTCCCGAGTGATTCATGACTGTAAGTGCAGTGAGGGACTTGTTCAATACTCCTAAGAGGTAATTAATTTGGCAGCAACTGAGGACAGTCAGCAGCTCACTGGACTAGGCTTCATACAGAAAGGAGCCTCCAGTACAGGACATTTTTAGAACACTTTCTTAATCATCAGTGGAGACTAAAGATCCCCTGAAATAACTGCAATATTCATCAATTGCTTGTTTTGAAAAGAACAGTTTCTGGCAGCCAAAACTGTAACATATGTATTCCACCATGACTAAGTTGGAGAAATAAGGCCTTATATTGGCCTTCAGTAGTGAAATGTTCACTTTCTCATATAGGTAATTGGCCTTTCTAGAGAACAGCAAGGACACAAAGGAGACTAGAGTAAATTTAATCAGACACATACTACTGTTCTTTACTTTGTTTAAGGCTTCATTTTGACACAGCCACATGCTGTAATTCAGAGAAAAGTTAGAATGACCTGCAAAGACTATCATTGTCCAGTTTAGGACTTGAATGTGCGCAGCACTTCAGAATTACACATTTTGAAACAGCAAATTCATTAGAATTTGTTGGGGGTGGGGAGGAAGGGATGCAATAATTTAAGACTAATTCAGTGGTAAGCTCTATGTGTCTACAATATACAAACAACTCCAAAATGCAGGTGTTAAAACTTCAAAAGAAAGATAGCCTCAGCTGTTGCATATAGCTTTGATATTTTCCAATATAATCATGTATAATAAGAAAAAAAATGCTATCCAGGAATAAATATATATATACATCCTGTAAAATAACAGTTACAGAAATGCCTTTATTGGCAAGGAACAAGAAATTCCTATGTTTATATAATGTAGTTGAGATAACAGCATTGCTGGAAACTTACTTATTTCACATTTTAAACTATACTAGGTATAGTCTTAATACAGTATAAAAGCAATCTCAGAATACAGGCTTTTGTTTTAAGACAAAGAGGGGGAAAAATCATCCATGTTTAATACAGACAACAGGTCAGTTAAATTTCAATTTTGTTTCAATTCATTACATAGCAAGTCAGAGGAAACCTTTTGATTATTACAGTTAATAGAAAGTATTTTATGTGAAAGTATTTGGTTTATTTTCAGCTTGCTGTAATTCATACATCATGAAATATTGCACTCTGTGGGATACAGGTCACATTCAAAGCTAACTATGGTCAAAAGGAATTTGTGTGTGTATATATGTCTATATCAGCATTTCCATGGGCATCAGAAACTGTGGTTTAGTCTCCAAATTGATTTTTGGGGTGAGGGTGGGGAGGTGGGGTTGTTATGTTAGTTTTAATTTGTTTTGTGTGTGTGTGTGTGTTTCTTTTTTGTTAGTTATTTAGTTAGTTAGAAGCTGATGGCTGATGAAGCAGTCTCACCGCTTTGAAAATTAGCATCTCATATTTTTGAATTGGTAAACTTATCCTCTGATGTGGGGCAGAAAATAGACAGCCTGGTTTACCAGGTGTCAGGTGCCTGAGCATGCCAACAGACCATAACTCCCTTGACCACATTCACCTGGGATGCTCTATCAGACACCCCTGGTCACAGACCCCAGCCCTTGTCCAAGCTGCATGCCAAGGTGCAGCAGCACCAGCAGGGCTGTGCTGCAAGGAGGATGATCTCAGTACTGCAGGCACTGCATTAGAGGGATGGTAGCTCTCTGCCTTCAGGGAGAAGGCCAGTATGTCAGTGCCAGCAACAGAGTGTATGTAGAGACTGAACAGGGTTTTCTATAAACTTTTTGTCTCTAAGATGAATATATGGGCTATTTGCTCCTTCTTTTGTTTATACTTTTTTTTATTTTCCACAGCAGAGCATGAATACACTATAACCTTTTTCCTGTTCTTGAATTTTTAGTCAGCGTGAATTCTTGCTTTTACTTATAGCAGAAGCATATTCCCTTCAAATATATGATGGGAATACTTCCACTTCTGTTGGAGATGTTATACATAGCTTAGAAGGAGTTGATATTGTAGGACATTTGCTGTTTTCTCAGTACCATAGGTGGACACAGCTTATAAACGCAGTACAATGCTGACATAATGGATTTAAAGAGATTGCACTTTTAACTCTGCTCTTACTGTATCTTTTTCTAATGTAAGCTTTTACATTTACATTAACAGAATAAGGCTCAAGGTTTAAATATTTGATGATGGTTGTAAAACAAGTGGGATATTATTCTCTCTCTAAAATGTTATGATTTCTGGTAATAGAGTCACATTTTGTAACGAATAAAACTTTTAATAATTTCTAATTTTTTGGCTAATAAAATGTATTTCATTAAATTGCATAATTTCAATTCTTTCTGTGTCTCATTTTTATTTTTATATCCATGACTGTAGCTTTAGTCTGCAATTTAGTAATAAGTTGTGTTTTTAAATATCTCCCACCTTCATCTTATTTTGTTATAAAGTCCCAATTTTTACTTTTACTTTTGCACACATATACACATCTGAGCTGCATTTAATTTTACTGAAGCAAACAGTGATTATAACCTTTCAGGTTCTTCCTATAGTGTTTTTTGTGTGTGTGTGTGTGTGTGTTTTTCTGTTTTGTTTTGTTTTAATATATATCAGGAAATGGACATCTTGGTTCAGAAGTATTACAGAGATGCTTGCTGGAACACTATCTTTTATTCTACCCTCATACTTGATGTTTTTCTTTCATTTATTCTAATTGTTCATGAGACTTTTTTTGTTTGGTTGTTTGTTGTGCTTTTGTTTTTGTTTTTTGTAATTTTTGAAGGGTTCAAATTCTGATTCTAGTCTGAGCAAGGACAACTCTCCTGAAATTCCGGAGTTGCCTCTATTTCTGCTAGAGTCAACATGTGGTATTTTATGATGGACTTCACGGCTTCTAATGACAGCACATATCATTCTAATGTGACCTGGAGAGAAATAAAATAAAAATAAAATAAAAATAAAAATAAAATAAAAACAAAATAAAAAATAAAAATATAAAAATAAAAATAAAATAAATAAAAATAAAATTGTACTGTGGCAGAGTGGGAAAGAGGGACATACATACTCAAATGCATGTATTATTTCAGTAGAGGTCAAAGTTTTACTTACCCTAACTCAGAAGCTGTACAAATAGCCACTCTTTTTTCCAGGAGTCAGCTCAAACACAAGTCAGTGGACATATTTGTGGATACCTAGAAGGTCAGTAACAGGTTAGTGAGTATTATGCAGAAACAGTGAGAGCATTTTCAAGAATAAGTTTTCTCCAGAAATACAGTTGAGACTCTTCTTTGTTCACTCTGCACATGATACAGCTCCTGCTGATGAACTAATTCACCCTATACAAAACAACATGTTTTGTGGACACTGTCTGAGCATGTCTAGAGTTTTCAGAAGGGATGCTACTTCCTGGAGGTTCACATATCACTCACATAAAGCTGATAATGATTGTATCATACAAGAAGTACTATTTCACTCCATTACCTTTGTGTCTGTGAGCATTGAGAATTGCCCCTAATCACTTTGAAAAACATGTTTCTTTCAGATCCCACAAACTTTCCATTATTTCTCATGATTTTCAATCCTTTTCATTAAGCATATGTGGATACTAAAATACTCTAAATTGACCTGTGCCAATACATTGTCATACAAGATAACTGGATAAATAATAATCTAATCTAGTAGTCTTAATCTAATTACAAAATTCAACTCCATGCATTGGAAAGCTGTCTTACTGTAAGGCAGTCCATCTCCTATGTGAAACATGCCATGATGTGTATTATGAACTCCTTTTAGAGGGGAAAAAAAAAGGAAAAAAAAAAAAAAGGAAAAGAGACGGAATTGGTGTGAGTGTGATTCTGGTTTGACCAGAGGGTGTTCACTTGGGAGACACAGATTAGGTCCCATGGTCACTTTTGGTGGGTTAACCTTGGCTAAGATCCAAGATTTAGGAATCACTTTTTACGCAGTCTTCCAGGTGTTACTGCAGGTTTTTGCATTTTTCAGTGCACTGTAAACATATGCAGTCAGAGACAAAGACTGGAGAAAAGACTTACACTGCCTGATTTAGAACATCACAGACAGAGGGGTTTCATTTCCACATGGAAAATGAAACAGAGGGGTTTCATTTCCACACAAGGAAATGAAACAAGTCCAGAGGAAGGAGCCTCTCCCTAAACAGTTCAACTGGAAGTGACCAAAGGAGCTGGAGGATTGCTTTTCCCATCATCATGTGAATACTCAATGCATTCACAAAAAGTAATAACCTCTACTCCAATTCTATATACCAGGAGGAAAAATAATAATAATAATAAAATAAAAAAATAAAAGTCATGTGAGATATATTAACAGAACAGCTTTCTTATGGGTAATACAAAATTTCCTGATAAGAAAGAACAGAAATTAAAAATTTTATTCAAGTTCTTTCTTTCTAGGCTGAAGGAGCTGGGCTTGTTCAGCCTAGAGAAGAGGAGGCTCAGGGGTGACCTTATCACTCTGTATAAGTATATTAAAGGAGGCTCTAGCGAGATGGGGGTTGGCCTGTTCTCCCATGTGCCTGGTGACAGGACGAGGGGGAATGGGCTAAAGTTGCACCAGGGGAGTTTTAGGTTAGATGTTAGGAAGAATTTCTTTACTGAAAGGGTTGTTAGACATTGGAACAGGCTGCCCAGGGAGGTGGTTGAGTCACCATCCCTGGAAGTCTTCAAAAGACGTTTAGATGTAGAACTTAGGGATATGGTTTAGTGGGGACTGTTAGTGTTAGGTCAGAGGTTGGACTCAATGATCTTGAGGTCTCTTCCAACCTAGAGATTCTGTGATTCTGTGATTCTGTGATTTCAATGCTTCCAAAAGCAAAAACATAGCTTTCTTCCCAGCTGGATATTTCATTTTGGTGTAAAACCTTTTTGGAAGACACTGGAGAAATGGAAGTTCCATGTTACTGTTATGCACAACACAGGGAGAAGGAGAATCCAGAACATTTAACTTTTCTAGCAGTCCACCAACAGTGAAAAGATCATTCCATAAGACTGTAAGAAGGGGGAAAGGAGAAGAAGTTATAATCAAGATGATAGGTATTTTACTCCCTCAGTCTGAAAGGCATGGAAATGCAGCAAAATCTGTGTCAGGTTATAGCGTAACATAAAAGCCATTCCTCAGCAGAAGGAAGCAATTCAACTCATAATTGTAAAGGACATAGTCAAGCTTACTGGATTTGGCATTCGGTAGCAGTGTAAAGGGATATTAAAATATGGGTCTCATTCAAATTCCTATGACAGGACAGAGACATAGAACATTACAAGGTTAGGTCATGGCAATTTTCATGGTAGACTTGAGTCCAGCAAGCCAATCAATCATCCAATACATTTAAGATTTTAACTAAACTAAGCTTGAAATAGAGGTCTACAGTTATATCAAAGATAAATGCATGAACAAGTGTGGAAACAGATTTGGAAAGAGAAAAGGAAAAAAAAGAAAAAAGAAAAAGAAAGAAGAGAGAAAAGAGGAGAGGAGAGGAGAGGAGAGGAGAGGAGAGGAGAGGAGAGGAGAGGAGAGGAGAGGAGAGGAGAGGAGAGGAGAGGAGAGGAGAGGAGAGGAGAGGAGAGGAGAGGAGAGGAGAGGAGAGGAGAGGAGAGGAGAGGAGAGGAGAGGAGAGGAGAGGAGAGGAGAGGAGAGGAGAGGAGAGGAGAGGAGAGGAGAGGAGAGGAGAGGAGAGGAGAGGAAAAAAAAAAAAGTTTAACAATGCATCACAGTGTGAAAAAGAGAAGTCATGTTTATGTACATTTCCACAGCATAAATATCTAATAATAAAATCTTCCTACATTAATATTTTGTTTATATTTGTAGTGGGTTTATGTGGCAAGGTTTTGGTAGCAGGGGGCCATAGGGGTGGTTTCTGTGAGAAGGATCTAGAAGCTGCCCCATGTTTGGGAAGGGCCCCACTGTTGACCAGAGCCGAGCCAATAAGCGATGTTGTTTTGCACCTCTGTGAGAGCATATTTGACAGGTTAAAAAACGCTGCGCCACACAGCAGCTGGGACAGTGAGAGGAGTGAGGAACAGCCTTGCAGGTGCCAAGGTCAGTGCAGAAGGAGGGGGAGAGGTGCTCCAGGTACCAGAGCAGAAGTCCCCTGCGGCCTGTGGTGAGGACCATGGTGAAGCAGGATGTCCCCCTGCAGCCCATGGAGTACCACGGTGGAGCAGGGTTCCACGCTGCAGCCTGTGGAGGAGACCACGGTGGAGCAGGTGGCCTGGCAGGAGCTGCTGCCCGTGGGGGAGCCAGGTTGGAGCAGTTTTCCCCTGAGCGATGAACCCCGTGGTACGGACCCATATCTGGAGCAGCTCCGGAAGAGCTGCTGCCTGTGGGAAGCCCACGTCGGATCAGTTCATCAAGGACTGTGTCCCATGGGTGGGACCCCACAGCACAGGGGATGAGAGTGACTGAGAAGGAGCGGCAGAGAAGAAGTGCTGTAGACTGACCATAAGCCCCATAACCCCATTCCCCTGCGCCGCTCGGGGGGAGGAGGTAGAAGAGGAACCTCAGTTTGTGTCAGTTGTCCTGGCTATGTCCCCTCCCAGCTCCTTGCCCACCCCTAGCCTACTGGTCTGTTCTGGGGAACATGGGGAGATGACCTTGGTGCTGCACCAGCACTGCTCAGCAATATACAGAACAGTAGTGCATTATCAACGCTGTTCTAGCCACAAGTACAAAGTACAACACACTGTTAAAAGGAAAGTTAACTCAATCCCAACCAGACCCAGGAAAATTTCTGTTTTCCCCTCCCTGTTTCCCCTCCTTTTCCCTTTAAGTCGTTTAAAGAAAGAAAGGGGGGTTAAAAAATGTTTTGACTTCTATCTGCAAAAAACACATTACTCAAAAGCCAGACTCAGAAAGCAGGCTTACTGAAGTTTCAAAAGCTTATTACTTTTCCATTCCCACAGTATTTAATAATATTTTCACAAGATTAAAGGACTACAGAATCTGTGACTGATAATGAGATAAAGCTACATATACCACCAGTAAACACACTGGAAGAAAACATTTTAGAGGCATCCACACGTGGCTTCAGGTGTTTGCAGTGTTAGCTACTTAGCTCCCTTTCCTGTCAGCTGAAAGCAGTAGATATTTTTAATCACAGGTTCCAAGGACCTATTTTAATTTTTTAATTTTTTTTCAGGATGATACGAATTAAATCCTCTAACCTGTAGTGAATAGATCAAATGAAGTTGTCTACCACTGATCAGATAAAACCCATCCCCATTATCCCAGATACATGACTGATTCAAACATGATTAGTGTTTGGAAGGAATTGCTTCCCACTGGATACAGATCTTTTGAGATTAGATACCTCTCCTTAGAAAGACAAAGTAATGGAGAAAGTCATGTAGGTCTATGGATAACGTAATCCAATTCCTCCTTGCTTTTCTGATAGCATGCTTGCGGGTTCTGGGATATTTTTCTGTTCAAGCTGTAACAAACATGCACCAGGGTATTTTTGGAAGATGAACTTCCTGTCAAGCACAAGGATTCTTCTTCATCTCTTAGTAATAAAAGCTACATGCCAGAATATTGCTGTTGACAATGAATCATTATTCTCTCATTGTTTTGTAGCTAGATCATCATAAATGAGAAAGATACTCAAAGAGCTGTTTCTTTCCAAGACGAATGATATATTTTTTCTCTTGATTACTACTTGTTATAATAGCAGAGCTTCTGCTGCAGAATGCCTAATTAGGTAATTTGCAGAGTTTTTATTATATGTTGTTCTTTATCAAATGACAGCAGCTACAGAGATTAATAAAGCTGTCAGCTGTGGGTAAATTCATAAGTGATTATTTCAATTTTTATTCTCAAGTGATGCTTATTAGCATATTTTCTTTTTTTATTGAGGAAAATACAGTGGATAGATTGAGTGGAGTTATCTCTTTAACATGAGTTAGCTTCAGGTTTTGTTGAATAAAGTGTCTTCCCTAGAGATAGGTCCAGTAACAGTAGAATTTTAACTAACTGGTAGACACAGTGTTATTATTAGTATGGACTACATATTTAACTGGCAATACAGACAATCACAAAATGCTTAGAAAAGGGAAGGAAAATTCAGCTGCAATTTTCATGTACACTTAGACTAAATATTTGCTACAAACTGTATCCTGTTGTTTTTCTTTTTTTTTTTTTTTAAGTACTTAGAAAAGTGAAA